CAAACTGAGGTATGCTCTGTAAGAAAAATAAGTTGACATATGTTTTAGTAATAAAATATAAATTGAGGTAAAGGAAAATAATACGAGATATCTTTTGATATAAAAATTAGTGGGGATACTTTTTGGTAATAAAAAATAAATGAGGTAATGAAAAATAATTTTAGGTATTTTTTGGTAAAACGATAAATTGAGCTATTCATGGGTAATTAAAATAACTGAGGTACTTTCCGTAGGAAAAATAAATTGTGGCTTATGAAAAAGCAAACTGAAGTAAAGAAATTTTATTTGAGGAAGTTATTGGTTAAAAAAAAAAGCAGGGGTACTTTTGGGTAAAACAAAATAAAATGAGGAAAAGAAAAATAATTAGCGGTAATTTTTGGTAATTAAAATAAACCAAGACATTTTTTGCAGGAAAAATAAATTGAGGCACTTTTTTATAATAAAAAACAAAATGAGGTAAAAAAAAACTAATTTCAGTTACTTTCTGGTAAAAAAAGAACTTTGAGATACTTTTTGGTAATGAAAAATAAAATAAGATACAGAAAAATAATTTGAGGTATTTCTAAAAAAAAAATATTAAGGTACTCTTGGGTAATACAAAGATAATCAGTTTTCTTTTTTTTTGTAGGAAGTACAAATTGAGGCACTTTTTTATAATAAAAATAAAATAAGGTAAAGAGAAATAATTTGAGGCATTTTTTTATAAACAAATAATTTGAGCGGTACCTTTCGGCTAAAAGTAAATAAAACGAGGTAAAGAAAAATAATTGTAGTCCTTTTTAGTAAAACAAAATAAAATGATGCAAAGATAAAAATAATTTGAGGTACTTTTTGGTAATTTAAAAAACTGCATTATTTTTTGTAAGAAAATAAATTTAGGTACTCTTTAATAATAAAAAATAAATGGATGCAACAAAAAACAATTTGCGATATTTTAGGCAAAACACTAAATTGTGGTATTGTTTGGTAATTAAACAAAACTGAGGTATTTTCCGTAGGAAAATAAATTGAAATATTTTTTGATAATAAAAAATCAAAAGAGGTAAAGAAAAATAATTTGTTATATTTTATGGTACAAGAATAAATTGAGGTATTGTTTAGTAATTAAAGTAAACTGAGGTATGATCCATCAGAAAAATAAGTTGAGGTAATTGTTGGAAATAAAAAATAAAATATGGTAAAGAAAACTACTTTGAGATATTTTTTGGTAAAAAAAATAAATTGAGGTACAATTTGGAAATTAAAATAAATGAGGTCTTTTCCGTAGGAAAAATAAATTGAGGTACTTTTTGGAAAAATAAAAATAAAAGGAAGTAAAGAAAATTAATTTACAGAATTTTTTGGTAAAAAATAAATTATAGTATTGTTTCGTAATTAAAATAGACTGAGGTATTCTCTGTAAGAATAGTAAATTGACATACTTTTTAGTAATAAAATATACATTGAAGTAAAGGAAAGTAATACAATGTATTTTTTGGTAAAAAAAATTAATTGGGATACTTTTTGTAGTAAAAAATTAAATGAGATAAAGAAATATAATTTGAGGTATTTTTTGATAAAAAAAATTGAAGCACTCTTTCATAATTAAAACAAAATGCGATACTTTACCTATGAAAAATAAATTGGGTTACCTTTTGATAATAAAAAATAAAATGAAGAAAAGAAAAGTAATTTGAGGTATTTTTTGGTCAAAAAATAAATTCAGGTACTCTTTGGTAATTAAAATAAATTGCGATATTTTCCATCGAAAAAATAAATTGAGGTAAAGAAAAATAATTTGAGGTATTTTTAAGTAAAAAATAAATTGTGGGGTACTTTGGTTCAAATCAGAGGGGTTTCTTAACATCTTGATAGCTATCTTCTTCACGACAATCTGGTTTCTGTGGGAGGAGCGAAATAGAAGAATCTTTCAAACTAATGCATTAAGAAGAAAGCAGGTTGTCATTCTGATTACTTCATATGTAAAGGCCACTGCAGACGTTAAAGAATGGGCCTTTCATCGATCAAAATAAGCAATTATTGGAAATCTACATATTAAGTGGCGTCAACTAAAACCAAAATGCATGATCCCAGTTGCATGGTCACTTCCGCAAGCTCGTTGTTATAAGCTGAATATTATGGTGCAGCCTTACACAACCCTAGTTTGGCAGGTGGTGGTGCGGTCATAAGAAACTGCAATGGTGGATTTGTGGTGGCGTTTACTAAACACTTTGGTTTTGCATCCACTAATTTTGCATAATTCCAGGATCAAGAGGAAGGCATTCTTTTAGCTATTCAAATGGTTGCTTCACGATATAAATGAAGAGTCATCTCTACTAGTAGATGTCATTAAAATTCAATATCGTGCAAGGTTATATCCTCACATGTGGTCTATTGCTCATGTTTTTTGCGAGGTGAATATAGTAGTTGATGCCCTTGTTAAGAGAGCATTGGTTTATACATGAGCTACTGTTTGGCATAGTCATCCGCCTGACTTTCTCTGTCTTCTTTTATTACATGATTTGGTGCAATTGCCCTATTATAGGACTATATAATGATATATTATCTCTTTTTTATTAATTAAAAATTAAGTAGAGGGCTTTCTCCCCCATTGACTTACCCAAAAAAAAAAATTTGAGGCAAAAAAAAAAAAATTGGGGTACACTTTTGTGATTAAAAATCAAATGAGGTAAAGAAAAATAATTTGAGGTATTTTTTCGTAAAACAATAAATTGAATTATTCATTGGTAATTAAAAAAAACCGTGGTATTTTCTGTAGGAAAAATAAATTGAGGTAAAGGAAAATAATTTGAGCTATTTTTTGGTAAAAAAATGAATTGGGGTGTCTTTTGGTAAATAAAAATAACAATGAGGTAAGAGAAATAGTTTGTGATATTTTTTAGTTAAAAAATCAATTGAGGTACTCATTGATAATTAAAATAAATTCAGTATTTTTCGTAGAAAAATAAATTGAAGTAATGTTTGGTAATAACAAATAAATGAGGTAAAAATAATAATTTGTGATATTTTTGGTAAAAGAGAAATTGAATACTTTTTGGCACGAACAGAAAGCGCCAATTCTATCTGGACGTCCTCACCCTCACTAGCAACTATCAATGTTGTTCGAGCAGCACCAGCCCCTGCATCTTTATCACATACCTGGTGAACAATGGAAATATTCTCGGCAGCAACAACATGTTGATCTTGAGTACTATACAGCAGGTATCTATTAATATTAGAATTATCAGTATTCAGCTTGGATAAAATATTAAAACCATTAGAATCAATGCTTTTCTCTTTCTTCTTGTAAAGAAACCGCCTATGGCTTTTGACTACCTTCCAGCCCTCAATCAAAGAACTTGAAAGCAAGGTTGATCGACATAATTTTGACTTATGACCCATCCTTCGACATTTAGAACATGTTGATGGAATAAACTCATATATAATTTCTTGACAATACTCCTTCCCATTAATATCAAACCAAACATTGCTAATGCATGGCTTGTCCAAATCCATAGCCACGCAAACTTTGGGTTCCGCTCGTGATTTCATCTTCGTAAGCTTAGCTATAAATATGGGTTTACCTACACTTGGATGAAATACGAAACAATATCTCAAGGTCCCAAAAACCTCAGGGAGGTCCAAACAAGGGCACTGACGTGTGCAACGAGATGGCTGAACAGTGGGGCCCCACTCTTGAAGGACTAAGAGCTTCTTATTTACAAACCATGGACCAGCAGTTCGTGCTATCTTTATTTCCTCTTTTGAATGAAAGCGAGAGACCAGAAAACTTTCCTCAAAGGAAAAAAATTTTAGGTCATACTTTAATTTTCACATTTTTATAATACCTTTCATGGACATCCATTCGGGTCGGCAGCTCAAGAAGTAGCCCTAAAGGCAATTGTCCCATCCATTGAAATATGAGTCAACCATCTCTTGCTCCATCTTCACACAGCATCTGCCATTAATGATCTCAGTTGGGGTTACCTCTAAACCATCAAAATAAAATACCCCATTTTGAATACCCTTGGCTCCGAATAATAGGTCCGATTTGCTCGAATCCCAACGGTTGCTAGGAGCTGCATCATGCATTTAATCAGCAATATGCATGTCACTGTTGACATGGACTGCATTTTCCATTGCGAAATGAATATATAGCACTTGGACATAAACTAAAATGTCAATATTCACACCTATTCCACAATTTTATCATTAGTATTGTTATCTATTTTTAAAAACTAACCAAATTAGATTTTTAAAATTTCAAATTCTTTTTTTGAAACTTTGTATAAGGTGGGACGCAGTACCTACCAAATGGTCCCATGCCAGTGTTCGAAACCACTATCCAAGCGGACTAGACGGCCCTATGCCTGAACCGAGTATTTGGCTTGAGTCCAAGTAACTCGGCCCAAGTAGGGCTGAGTACTGTAGCAACAAAACAATGTTAAAAATAAAAATAAAATATAAAAATATCTCAAAAAAAACAATTATTTTTGATAAATTTTTTATATGCATATTTAATTCTATATTTTAAAGTTGCAACTTTACATAAATTTTTTCTTTTAAATTTTCTTTAATATCTGCTACTTGGACACTTATGGGATCCGAGTGCAAGTAACTCAGCCGTACAAGCAGCTGCTTCTCTAGCCACAAAATTCGCCGTTGATCGAAGCATTGAAACCGAGAGGCGGAAAAGAATACCTAATCTACCCTTATACGACAATGGGGAAATTACGTGGTTCCTTTCTCTTTGTGGGCCGGTTGAAAAGGCTTCTTTTTTCAATAAATTGATAATAATGAGCAGTAAAATAGAAGAACGTACAGAATTAGCTGCAGAAGGGAATGAAAATGTGTCAAAAGATTCCCTGCCAACCCCACTCTGCATGCAAACCTCGTCGTTTTCACCACACCCACGCGTCTCCACACGTGCACACGCGTCCCCCACCCTCCCACGCGTGTCAACCTCATTAGCACTTTATAAACCCCTCTCCCCGCCCTTTCTCTCAATAAAACCACAGAAGTCCATTTTCGGTCTCTTTCTCTCTGCGATGGCGGAGCAGCAATACCACAGTGTGATGGACCTCATCCATGACAAGGCCCCTTCAACCTCTCAAGTTCTCGCTGTTGTGACCCTCTTCCCAATTGGTGGGATCCTCTTGACGCTTTCAGGCATAACTCTAGCTGGAACATTGGCTTGTTTAGCAGTTGTTACCCCTCTCTTTGTGCTCTTCAGCCCTGTTTTAGTGCCGGCAGGGATACTGTTGCTGCTGGCGGTCTCGGGGTTTTTGGCATCGGGAGCATTTGGGTTGACGGGGGTTTCATCGATCGGTTGGATTGTGAAGTCGGTGAGAGGGAGGGGAGATGTTCGTGAGCAGATGGAGCATGCAAAGAGGAAGATGCATGAGAGTGGGGGGCATATGGGGCAGCAAGTTGGGCAGAGGGCTAAGGACGTCGGCCAAGGCATGCAGAGCAAGGCCGGTGGAGACGGTGGCCGCACCTAGACCCATAAAGAAACACCCATCTCTATCTCTATCTCTAGTAAACAATTTCCTCTCCCTCTTTCTTCATGGACAATGCCACTCACCCCCACCCCAATCTCTCGCACACCCATGCAGACACCTCCCCCCTCTCTCTCCCTCTCTTCGTGCACACATTTTCATCTTTGTTGTTTAGTTTTTCTTCCGGCCACCTTATGTCTTGGTCCACCTTATGTCTCTCTTTCCTAGCGGTCATGCATGGCTTACTGAATGAAGAGGGGTCACAAACTTCGACTGTCGTTTGGAGATATTTTATGCTTGTAGATCGCAGTGGTTAATTAGAGTATAATATAATAGGCCTGCTTTTGTTCTCACTCATCACTCTTATCTCTTCTTAGCTTTCTTAGTAATCGTGGAATCTTAGTGGTTTTTATTGTTGCGTTTCCTTCTCATTCGCTCCTTATGTTATTGCTTTTCCTTCTCATTTGCTCCTCTTTCTCATCATCATCGGAGCCAAAAACAAAACAAAACAAAACAAAAAAAAGCACTAAAATTCCACGATTTCCAAAAACAAAAACAAAAAAACTAAAATTCCACGATTTTAGTCGGTTGAAATTTGAGAGAAGCATGAAATGGGACGACCATCGTCTGAACCAGAAAAGGAAAACAAAAAAAAAAAGTACATTAATGAAAAAACCACCACCTAAGCATATAATCTGATTTTAACTTATGGCATGTGGTACTTTTATTTTTTCGCTGCGGTAACCCTTTTAAGGGGCGGTACCATGGAGAGTTTGGTATGTTTGATTTCGAGATAAATGCCTGATAATTTGATTTGAGCATCACTCACTACGCCGGGCGAGCCTCATGACTGATTTGCATGTGCACTTCGAGTGATAAAATCGTCAAATCATTTTGAAGAAATGACCAACAATCAAAGTTTCAAACTCGGGCGGGTCAACTCGGCGTTGGTGGAGTTTCTCGGCCCCGTGAGGCTGAGGGGCTCGAGTCCATTGTACAATAGCTGAGGTCCATTGAGTTAACAGAGATAGCTGAAAAAACCGAAGAATCGGTTTAAAAAACATTAAACTCGCCTGATTTTTTGCTGTTGGCGGATAAACTCAAACTCGTTTTTCTTAAAAGGGAAACTTGAAAACTGAAAATACAAAATTTGGGAGTGATTTTGATCGTTTTTTTGTACCTTTCTGTGCTTTTAACAGTAACATTAATTTTATGATGAGATTTGGGTTCATCAAGAGTCAAATCGAACAATTATTTATTTCGAAATTTTTGGGTTTTTTAGGGTTCTTTGTTCATTAAAAAAACTCCCTCATTCTCTTCCATTCTCTTTTTATTTATCCACGAAATTGATTGATTTTTGGTTCTTTATCTGCAAAAAATTTTTGCTGATTCGTGTTTATCAAGTTTAACATCTTAAATTTACGGTATGTACGGTTTTATTATGCCGGATTTTTCTTTTTTCTGTCCGAATTTTATTGTTCATGCTAATTTTTTCACTAGATCGAAAGATTTTTTTTGGCTTAATTTCTACACTAAATCAAAAGATTTTTGGCTTGTTTTGAAGTTTTGAAAATAAGCTTCAAGAACAGATTGTTTTCTTTTGTCATTATCGACTGATTTCGTATATCAAACCATAGTTATATCAAACCAACGTTAGTGTGTGAAAATATCGTCAATTCTATTATTTGTCTAATTAGTTCATAGGTTAGTTTATTTTGAAGCTTTTGAGATCATTTTCAATAGCTTTTAATAGATTTGTGGTTCTCCAATATTGATTGATTTCGTGCTATCGATGAACAATCAGAAATTTGTACAATCTAATTTTTTTATTAATTTATCAAAAATAATGTTCTAATTGTTATTATGTTTTTAAGATATTGAAATAACTTGAAAACTCTTATATTTGCTTTGTGGTTTTTTTTTCAATTTCGATTGATTTATTGTATCATAAAGGTGATATTTTTCTCTAATTTATCAACAATAATGTTCTGATTATTATTGTAGCTTCCAATCGGACTTTAAGATCTCTTAATAAATATAAAGTCCAAAAATATATTTGTTAATATCAATGAACAATCAAAAAATTGTAAAATTTAAAAATGTTCACTAATTTATCAACAAGAATGTTTTGATTTTTTTTTTTTCAAGATATTGAAATAATTTGACAACCCGTACATTTGTGTTTTTTGTTTCAATATCGATTTATTTATTTCATAGATGTAATATCAATGAATTGTGTAAAATTTAATATTTTTCTCTAATTTATCAACAATATTGTTTTGATTATTATTGTAATCAAGACCTCTTATAGACTTTAGGCATAATATTTTTTTTAAGAGAGTTATGGAAAAAAAAGAGTTCCGAAATAAATCTTAGAAAGGGCAATGATTTTATGCAACCGTTGTATAGAAATACAATGTAACAACTTTAAAATATTATTTTATGGTCATTTGTTTGATCCAAATTTTGAAGCATGTACTTTTTTCATTTTAATGAACAATCACAAAAAAAAATTGAAAACACAAGTTATAAAGTATTTTTTTAGTCCAATTAATATAGGTCGTTTATTTTGATGAGATGTTTAGATTTAGGGTTTAGAAAGATTTTTTTATTTTTTATTTTTTTGGATGGTTTTATTATCATTAGATGAACAATGTTTAAAAGGATAAAAATGATTTTGATTTTATAAAGATTAAGATATTGAAATTCACAAAATGAATGGTCTAAATTCGTTTTTGGAGGGGACTTATTTTGACAATATCTAAATCTAAAGTTGAAATTAAATTTTTCTTTTTTTGAGGATTGATTAATGAGATGAAGAGAGAGAGTGTGTAAAAGTTGGGATCACACAAATACCACAAACATGGTTTTCTAAAAGTGTTATTGTATTATATTAGGATACAACTGATGCATTGGATCATTGCACCATTAATAAATATTAAGTTAAAAAAAATATTTTTAAGAGAGTTATGGAAAAATGAATTCTAAAAATAAAACCAAATCATTAATAAAAATAGATTTAAAACATAAATTCAAGCTATTAAAAAATATAGAGTAAAAAAAAATTATTTTTTTAAAGAGAGTTGTGAAAAAAAAAGAGTTAAAATATATATTTTTTAAGCGAGTTAAAAAAAAGAGAACCAAAACCATTAATAAAAATAGAGTTAAAAAATAAATCCAAGCCACTAAGAAATATAAAGTAAAATTATATATTTTTCGAGAGAGTTGTGGTAAAAAAATTCCAAAATAAATTCATACATTAAAAAAATAAAGTTAAAAAAATACTTCACACATGAAAAATAGAGTTAAAAAAAATACTCCACAGGAATGGAGCTCACAACTTATTTGGAGATAAAAGACCACGGGTACTAAAGCTACATATAGCTGTAGTGGCAATGGTACCTCCATTTTTATATACAACGTAATCTTTATTTGCTTAAAAGAAGCAAAAAGGTTTGGGCAACGGATCCATCCTGTTGGAGGCACATAAATTTTGCTAGCATTCTACAAGGACGCCAGCAAACACATTTTGAATAGGAGTTGCTACTCATTATATATATCTAACTATATTACGTGATTTTCGTTAAAAACAAAACAGCTTGACTTGGCCGAACATGTTATTAATTTATTAATAAAGCGGATTATAATAATTATTGCATGAGATATAATAATTATTTCATGGGAAATTTACGTCCATACTGGTTTTTTATATCCTTATAACAAAAAGGATTCAAAATAGGCCGTTATTATTTGAAATCGGAAGGATGGCCTTTCAAATTTTTTTATTTTTTTTTATTACTTGGTATTAATTGTCCATTTAAATTTGAAGGTTTAAGGCGGTTTGATTTTCCGACCGCATTTATACCTCATTTGAAGGTTTAAGGTAGATCATGTTTAGACTTCAATTAATTTGCAATATGATGTTTTAAATATCGGAGTAAGGGTAAATTACAAAAAAAATAAAAAATGAGGAGGAGGGAAGGACTTCTGGATAAATATCATATATTTTTCTATCATCACGTAATAACGGTCAAATAAAATAATATAGACGTAATTTTCCCTTATTTTCATAGAGGGGGTCATCCTTATAAATTGTATGAAAAAATCCCGCCTATGCTAATATAGCCATGGTAATATTGTATTGTATTTGAGAGAGAGACTCAAATTAACTAAAGTGCACCAGATGAGAAATATCCTTTTCGAGTCTGTTTATTAGGGTATACCTGAGTCTGTCCACTTTCGTTTGCACTAGTGTGCATCTCTTCCGATTGTAGGGTTTATGTGTCCATTAAAGGTCTTATGATAGCTTGCCCACTTTCGTTTGCTATGGTGTTCATCTCTTCCGATTGTAGGGTTTATGTGTTCATTAAAGGTCTTATGGGTTTATGTGTCCATTAAAGGTCTTATGATAGCCTACCCACTTTCGTTTGCTCTAGTGTTCATCTCTTCCGATTGTAGGGTTTATGTGTCCATTAAAGGTCTTATGATAGCCTGCCCACTTTCGTTTGCTCTGGTGTTCATCTCTTCCAATTGTGGGGTTTATGTAATCAATATCTAATATAGTGGATCAAAGAAGTCCAATGAGAGTATGGTCCTAAAGGATCAAGAGACTATGATCTTGAAGGACAAAGAGATTGTTGCTCAAGGGATAAGGAGATTATGATCTAGAGGGATTGAGATAGATAAATGTTATTTGCCGATACTCAGACTTGGCTTGACGAGCTAGGCCAGCCGAGTTAGAAAAACTCCGAAATACTTGAGGCATAGAGCACAACGGATGAGAGTTTATGGGTTATCCTTTAATGACGTCAGAGTAGCCTATTGACTATAATTTCATATAATTTGGATATGTCTTATTGATTTGGATATGTCTTATTGACTATAATTTCATATAATTTCAAGACAATTTTTAATTTTATCTTGAAATTAGATTATACTACAAACTATAAAGCAATATGCTAGAAGATTATCTCAACGAGACCGAGTACACTCGACACCGGGTCTCCTCCTCTAATGAGGCACGAGATCAATGGTTAATCTCACATATTCCAAATATGGAATAGCCCTATAAATAAATATGAAAGAAATAACTATTTGATCGAGATTATACTGCAAACTATAAAGCAAGATGCTGGAAGATTACCGCAATCGGACCTAGTACACTCGACATCGGGTCTCCTCCTCCAATGAAGCATGAGATCAATGGTTAATCTCATAAATTCCAAATATGGAATAGCCCTATAAATAAATATGAAAGCAATAACTATTTGATCGAGATTATACTGCAAACTATAAAGCAAGATGCTGGAAGATTACCTCAATCGGACTTAGTACACTCGACATCGGGTCTCCTCCTCCAATGAGGCATGAGATCAATGGTTAATCTCATATATTCCAAATATGGAATAGCCCTATAAAAAAATATGAAAGAAATAACTATTTGATCGAGCCAAGGCATCAATGCCTTAGGTCATTTTAGGAGTGGGGTGTGCCTCTATTGTGTCTTATGGGGGTGTGTCCCCTATCTCTCTTTAGAGATATGAGACCTTCAAGAGAGAGAGAGAAATTGTGAGAGAGAGAGAGAGAGACATTTGGTGTAGAGAATGAAAGGTGAAGAGGCGTCTATTTATAGACTTTTTAACGGCATAGGGTTCTATAGGGATAACCAATCTTGTAGATTGATACTGATCAATTGATCATAGGAGATCAATTTGGTGAGAGATTTGGATCAATTATTCCATCATGATTCAAAAGACTAGGTAAAACCTTATCCTTCAGTTTCCTAAACATTTATCTCATCAAATAGAAGATAAAAATAATATTAGATAGTATCTGTTTATGTAAATATATGTTTTACATAATTTTAATATTTTTAGGAGTCGAACTCCTTAAAGCATATCTCTTTTAGAACTCCTAATCTTTTAGGCCTCGTAAAGCATATCTTGTTCTTAATTGACTTAGTCAACAAGACATGTCCAAATCAATGGCTCCTAAATAAGTGGATCTCAAAATTGTAGAGAATTCCCCACTTCAAGTGGGGCGTGCCAACTAAGGCTCCCATAATAGGACCCACGCCCAATGGGATCCTCATGGACCCCGATGGGCCCTCATCTATTATATTAATTTTTAAAATAAAAAATTTAATTTTTAAAATAAAAATATGAAATTATACTTGAAGTAGGAAATTCTCTACAATTTGTCGTAAGTACCTTTATCTTGAAAGTATACGAGATTTTATTTTTTCTCACCCACAAAGGATAAATTTAAATTCCAGGATCTTTCACTCATGTTGGTTTCACTCATGTTGGATTGGGTGCACGTATACGTGCCAGTCCCTCATCATCAACTTGCGATGCACCATTATGCAAGCGCTCTCCCATGTGCTACATTAAATTGACCTCATGGTTAGCCGACTGGAGTGTGGCATCGATACGATCGATCGTTTCCATCATCGTGTACACCATATCCTCAATCTTGTTCATGCGCTCTTCCTGCACTTCAACGGGCTCGCTTACGACCATTATGCTGACCGTTTCTCTATGGAGGTCAACGTTAGTGGCAATTGAGGGCTTGTGAACTTCACAGGTCGTACGTGATAGGTCAGTCAGCGGGGGGCCAGCATGCCCTGACTGTACTCTACTCTTGTATGCTGATTGCGTTTGGATTGGTTCTCGACAGTCTTAGGACCGTGGCTGCTGAGCGGCTGGGTCTTCTTCTACGACAGTAACCATAGCACAGGGGTCATGGAGCTCTTCTTCATGCTTCATCGTCTGAAGGGGGTAGAAAGGATTCAGGTGAAGAGGGTCGTCATAATTGGTTGTTTTAACTGCGTTGGTCACCTCCCTAGTCAAAATTTATAGACCTTTATCATGTTTAGCCTTGCGGTTTTGATGGACCTCACGCCAAAACTGTGATTTGGGTCGCGGGTGGTCAGCTCTTCTTACACATGAGAGAGCTGTCTCCATCACGTGCGGCAATGGATGAAGGCCAGGAACTGGAGTCATCTTGGGCCGGGGAGGATGAAGGACTTGATCTTTCATCAGGTTAATGCCCCGAGCTCTCTTATGAGCTCCAAAGATACGACCAAAGTGACGGGGCTGGTTCAGGATGGTACTCTTGGGGAAAACCTTCGAGTACCATGGCTGAAGGTGCTTGCTCGATGAAGGAGGAATGGGTCGGAGCAGGAAATTACTCATAAGGAGGCCTGAGTCGAGGGCGAGAGGGTGTCTGTGATGACGATGAGTGTGCGCCCCTTAAAGAAGGATTACGGGAGACCTTGGGGTCAGCTCGAGCTCCTACATGTGATCTGGCATAAGGAAGCCGAGAACTACGAGTAGGTGTCTGTAAGAGGACAGATGTAGGCCTGCCCCTTACAGGGTGCACTTGTGTGTGCAGAGTAGGAGGACAAGAAGGTCGTCTCTTGTGTACTCGAGTTAGTATTGCCCTAAGTAGTGAGATACATATGAGTAACGTGCGTAGGACTTGGCCTTGGAAGGTTTGATCTTGGACACGGTCTCGAGGTAACAGAAGGGTTGCCCCGAGGTGTGGCTCGAGTGGGTAATGCAAGAGCCTGGTGGTGTCTGTGAGGGATGGAGACCGTGAGGTTTTTGCCTCGACATGTTGAAATTCTAGGGATAGAGATCAATGGTGCAAAAATGTGGGGGGTAGTCCTATGGCGACCCACAGAAGCAATGACAAGTGACTGGGCAGCCTTTCAGCGTACCTCAGGAATACGATCGGCAAGTGACTTGCCGGTGGCTGGGTGCATGCTGTGTGGGGCAACTAAAGTGCTGCCGATGCAAGGCACCTTGGTGGAGTTTCCGTCAGAGTGAGGAGATGGGGAGTGAGGGATTTTTAGGTCCCGTCTCACACTGGTCCAAGTTAAGACCTAGGAGTTAAACAAGGGGTTTTTGCTCAAGAGGATGGTTGAGAACGAAGTTGAAGGAACTTGTTCCCTAGGGACGCTCTTGAATACAGGGATAAGAAAATCCCTGATCTAGAAAAATGGGTTACAGAACCAGCAAGCCATAAATAAAATGTAAAAAAACAATGAAAGAAGATTATAAAAGAAGAAACTAGCCAAACAAGAATGATCCGACTAAGGGGTAGTAAGTCCCCAGTGGAGTCACCAAGCTCATTAAGTGCCTCGATCTCACCCTCCTGACCCTCTGGGGATCTGGCGGCACGGGTCTCGGGTTTTGAGGGAAGACCCGAGATGTTTTCGATATCACTCTCTTGGGAACCTCGATCGAAAACGGGGGCAAGTGTTACCAACCGGTGAGAGAGGAATTTAAGGTGGGTTCGGGACTTACTCGGGTTGACTCGCGTGGGCACCCTTTTAGATCACAAAGAAAGTCCCCCCAATAATAAAACTGGTTTGGAATCACCTCCCTTGGCTTGTATTCATCTGTTTTCTGCAATCACACACATATATGGCAAAGGTTATAAGACAGGTGGGTCAAACCTCACCTTTTTCCTCTTTGATGAACGTACACGAGCATGAGCATTCAGAAAGAAGAAGAGAAGAAAGATGGGGAAGATAAGAATTTGACTAAGCGATAGGATCAGAGCGGTGACTACGCTAGTGAATAATTGACCTAACGTGGTAGCAAAATAGGCTCGAAAACTAAGACCGACTCATAGGATTACTACTAGACGTCATTACCAATACCAACTAGCTAGGCATGATGGTCAGTCTGTCGTGGCAATAAAGCGGGCCAAGTAATCCTGCCACAACAACATTACGGCTAGATGACAGGGCTACCATGAGAGGCTAACATCAATCCCTCTTAGTTGAATGAGGATTATGAGGAAAGAATAAGAAGAGAAGAAGGGAACAGAAAGGAGGGAGAAGAAAAGAAGAGAAGAGGATGAAAAACAAGGATAAAAGAGAGAGGGAATGAAGACGCAGTTGGTGCTAAGCATTGCCGACTGTGTTAGAAGAAAGACGGAGAAAATACAGTCGGCGCTAGGCTTTGCCGACTGTGTTGTACGGATGAGAAGAGAGAGGAGACGCAGTCAGCACCAAGCTTCGTCGATTGTGACAGAAGAGGAGAGTGAAATCTAGTTGGCACTAGGCTTCTCCGACTGTCAGAAGAGGAGAGAGAAATCAAGTCGGCGTTAGGCTTCGTTGACTGACAGTAAAGGAGAGAGAAAACCAACCAACGCTAGGCTTCGTCGATTGACAGAAGAAAAGAGAGAAAACCAACCGACGCTAGGCTTCGTTGGTTGTGACAGAAGAAAGAGAGAGAAAACCAACCGGAAATAGGCTTCGTCGATTGACAAAAGAAAAGAGAGAAAACCAATAGGCACTGATAATGAATCAGCTTTGGTGGAAAAAATGGTGACAATTATGGGGATGGAAGATGTGCCCCTTGCAGTGGTGTTGGCATAGATTAAGAAGCATCGTGAAGCAAAGAAAGTGGAGATTAAGAAGGTGGACTCTCCTATGCCTCCTGCAAAGAAGGTAGTGTCTAGCCAAAAGATGACGCCGACTATGAAGGGTAAAGGGGCGGTGTCTGGCAAGAGTAAGAAGGTATTTCACATGGGAGAGCGATCTTCGGCTAGATTGGAGATGCACGGAGTCCCAAAAGGTGGCTACTTGACGGTGAATGCTATGGATTTTTGTGACCCGGTGTTGGCGGATCTTGATTCACCTTCTTCTACTGATGCTAACATCGATGAGGCCAATGACGCAAGGATGCTGGAAGTAGTGTGTTTTGAGGGCGGTCCTTTTAGACTAGGTTCCTCCTCTTCTTCTTAATTTATGAATATTCTGTCATGGAATGTTAGGGGGTTAGGGGACAGTAGAAGGAAAAGGGATGTTCTATTTTTGGTTACTAAATATAAACCAGTAATTGTGGCATTACAGGAGACCAAACTTCCAAGGCCTACTCTCTCTGGGGCTATGGAAGTTTGGGGCTCAGGTGCAGTCTGTTTCTATGGGATTGATGCAGTAGGTAGCTCTAGTGATCTTTGGGTTTTGTGGGACCCGTTGGTGGTCCAAAATTTTGAGACTATTGTGAAAAACAATTGCTTATTTTTGGGTTTCAATGGCCCTATTTGGGGTTCTCATGGGGTTTCCTGGATGTTGTTGGGCCTAATATCTCCTCTTTGAAATCTGCTTTTATTTTTTAGATGAATGAGTTGATCCGTCTGTTCCATTTCCCGGTGGTAATGGGGGGGGATTCAATCTTATTAGATGGCATGAGTCTGTTGCAGGGTACCCAATCAACACTGACATGAGGAATTTTAATTCTTTCATTGAGAGCAATGCTCTTATATATCCTCCCATTATTAGATCGCAATTTATTTTGTCCAATAATAGCATTGATAATTTAGCGATGTCTAAATTAGACAGATTTTTGTTAGTTTCAGAGTGGGAGGAGGTCTTTCCACTAGCCTCGGTCAAAGCTTTGGCTTGATTGTCCTCCAATCACCTTCCCATTTTTCTGGATACAGGGTCTCTTATGTCTGGGCCAAGACCTTTTAGATTTGATGTTAGTTGGCTAGATAACTTAGAGGTGGTTGAGCTTATTAAGAAAACCCGGTTGCATTCTGTGGAGGTGGGTTCTACGGATTTTCAATTGCACAAAAAAAGCGTCAAACACAAATTGATTGGTTGGAAAAAGGATAATAAATTCGATCTTAAGGCTAAGATTGATGGGGTTCTAGTTGATATTGAATTATTGGATCTTAATGCTCTGTCATATGGAGTTCTAACTAAGCAGATGGTAGTGGAACGTGGGGTTAAACTGAAGGAGTTGGAGGATTTGGGAAGATCTGAAAAATTTTATTGTAAACAAAGATCTATGAATAAATGGTTGAACGCAGGTGACCTAAACACTAAGTTTTTGCGTGCCATTGCTAGTGCTAGAAGAAGACAGAATGATATTTCAGGTCTGAATATCCCTGGGTTAGACCTAGAGGATAATTCTGTCATTGAAGTGGGGGTCATTAGCCATTTTAAAAAAGCCTTTACTAAAGAGGTGGTGATGACACTAACCTTTCTGAATGTCCCTTCTAGGATGCTGAATGAAGAGCGAAGTGTTTTTTTGGAGGGGGCAATCACTATCCAGGAATTGCATCACGTTGTTTTTGCTCTTCCTGGTGATAAGGCGTCAGGCCCGGATGGCTTTCCTTTGGTTTTTTTCCAAAGATTTTGGAATATAATCAAAGATGATTTGTTGGCGGTTGTTCGAGAGTTCATGATCAGAGGTCAAATTTTTAAGGGCATCAATTCCACTTTTTTGGCATGGATACCTAAAAAATCAGTGATCAGTGAGCTCTCAGATATTAGGTCGATAAGTTTGCTCATTAGTGTTTACAAGATCATTGCTAAGATCTTGGCGGAGCGACTTAAGGAAGTCCTTCATCTCTTCTACACAATCGGCTTTTATTTAGGATCGTCAAATTACTGATAGTGTTGGTGGCTCAAGAATGTATCCACTCGTGAGTTGTGAGTAAAAGGGTGGGTATTTTGCTAAAATTTGATATGGAAAAGGCCTACGATAGGGTGCAATGGGGTATTCTTTTGAAGATTATGAAAAATATGGGTTTTGGAGCACTATGGAGGAGCTGGATTTTTGGATGCTTATCTTCTGCACATTTCTCAATAATTTTCAAAGGCAGCCCGATTGGCTTTCTTAATGTTGCTAGAGGCTTACGTCAAGGTGACCCCCTTTCTCTATTCCTATTCACAATTTATGTCAAATGCTTTAGTTCGATGCTTAGTAGGGTGGAGAACAGGGGTGCTTTTGAAGGTTTCCAAATTACAAATTCAAATATAACTGTTTCTCGCTTACACTATGCCGATGATACCTTAATTTTTATTGACGCTGAGCCTACACAAGTGAGGAATGTAGCGAGATTTTGGAGATATTTGAAGTGACCCTGGGCCTTAAAATTAATTTTCGTAAGTCTTCTATGGTGGGAATTAATTGTAGCAATGCCTTGGTAAATGACTTGGCTAATGTGTTGGGATGTAAAGTGGATTCTTTTCCTATTACTTATTTGGGACTTCCAATTTCTTTTGCCAGTTGTGACAGAAGAGAAAGAAAAAACCAACGGGTGCTAGGCTTCGCCGATTGTGACAGAAGAGAGAAAACCAACCAGTGCTAGGCTTCACCGATTGTGACAGAAGAGAGAGGGAAAACTAACCGATGCGAGGTTTCATCGATTGTGACAAAAGAGTGAGAAAAAACCAACCGATGTTAGGCTTCGTCAGTTAATAGAGGAAAAGAGAGAACCAACCGGTGCTAGGCTTTGCCATTTGCATTAGAAGAGGACGTATAGAGAAGAGAGGAGGAGAGAGAAAAGAGGAGGAGAGAGAAAGAGTGGAGGAGAGAGAAAAGAGGAGGAGAAAGAAAAGAGGAGAGAGAAAAGGGGAGGAGAGAGAAAGTTACCTGCCTGAAGGGTACCGGCCTTTTTCCTCTCTCTCCTCTCTCTCTCCCAAGACCTACTCACAAGCTCAAGCAAAAGATCAGAATTTTATTGATTGATCCAAGGAGAATGAGTCCGTCTTTTCTACAATGAGGCATTGCCTGTTTATATAGAATTGGGCTAAAATGTGGATGTACGCCCAAAAACTTCCTAGAATTGAAGATAATTACAAGTTAATTGAATTTAAATAAATTCTAAAAATAGGTGCAAAAGGACTGCTTTGCCCTTAGGTTGCTCTGATGCCCGTTTGATCGAAATATTATTGTTTTCTTGTAGCACTCAGCATGGCGATCATTTTGATGCCAACTTCAAGCCATGAATCATGTTTTTGAGCCATGATCATGAGACTTGAATTTTGGATGAATCTCGAAAACTTCGGATCGATTGTGTGCTCATTCCTTGATGTTTCTTTGTGACTTCTTCATTGAATCACACTGAGCATGCCGTCACGATCACGTCGCAACGAATGTAACTTGATTTCTTGTCCGGATGAAAATTTTGTCGTCTGGAGTTTTTGACCAAAATCTTGAAATCCGGCAGCCGAAACTTACAGCAGCTTTGACACCTTTGTGTGTGAAATCCAACCGCTCATCTTACACAAGGTTCGGACCAGAGATAGCCTCAGACCTTATGCACATAATGCAATTGGTTTCATGCCGATCGGGTATGTGAGCGTCGTGATCTAGCAACTCGAATGAGGCATGCTGCTGCAGAATTTTCTACAATTTCCTTCACAAATTAGCGACTTTCATTTAGTTTTTCTCTCTGCCCAAGCATCGGCAGGGTGTACTACATATCGAATTGCTCATCTTGATGAGATGAACACACTCACCAAATTTGGGATCGATCCGGCTGGAACGAGTGAGTTATAAGCCCCAAAAGTGATTGTCTGTGACTGTAAAAACAGCCACCTTTAATAGTATTTTAGTGCAGGGTGGCCACACGGGAATAGTGTGTGGCCTACCCTTGTTCGGTATTTTACCCATAACTTTGTCTTGGAGTGCCCGATTAAGCTGAAACTTGACCCATATGAGTTTTTGACCATGTCAGATCTAATGGCCATGGTCTTACAGCTATTTGATGACCCAAAATTATGTCTCTAATTACAGGGTCCATTTCAGGGTGCTAGAGACCGATTTCGCTGAAATTGTTTCTTTGTGTTCACTACCTTAGACATGTCTGATCACAATGAAACTTGGCAGGTGGTCTTTTGAAGTTCTAATGGTGATCCTCACCAATTCTAGGGAAATTCTGAGACTATCGGGAATTTCCACTATTTTGTAGGCTTTATTGACCTGCTTCCTATCAGGGACCAAGGTGCTAAAAAATACGTTCAAATAGCTTGCCCCGAAAAAGGCTGTTAAGGGACAAGCTCTCGCAGATTTCCTGACAGCACACCCTCTCCCAACTGATTCTCCTTTATTTGATGATTTATCAGATGACGAAGTGTTTCATGACGAAGCTTCATATGATTGGAAGATGTATTTTGACAGGGTTTTTCAATAAGAAAGAGGCCGCATTGAATTTGTATTCTCCACCCCTCATTGTGGCCTTGTCCCATTATCATTCTCTATCCTAGAGATAGAGTCCCACAACGAAGCATAATATCAAGCACTCATCATAGGCAGGGAGATTGCTTCTCATATGTGTTTGAAATACTTGACCATTTATGAAGATCAGAGCTGGTCATCTGCCAGCTTAAAGGGACGTATGACATAAGGAAAGATAAGCTCAAACCTTACTTTAATACTATCAAGTCCCTAATGATGGAATTCAAAGAAATTGCTCGAGAACACGTATCATGAAGGGTTAATGCATAGGCTGACACACTTGCTAAATTGGCAGAAACTATCCAGATTCCATTATAGGAGCCTGCACCAGTAGGGATAGTAGAATGGAGATGCATTGATTTCATCAAGAAACTTAACAATAATGAGATGCAGTTGTTCAAGGATCATCTTCTTCATCCATTCAAGGAATTAATCACAGCAGAGGGGACTTTGCAAACATCAAGCAATTCTCAAAAATATAGTTCATCTGAAAAAAAAGAGAATAAGGAAGTAGAGGAGGTAGAATCTCAAGAACCTTTATGTGCTGAAGTGGAGCCAGCAACAGACTCACATGATCCTATAAAGGATTACTTGCAGCATAATCGGCTCCCTAACAATCCTACTGAACGTAACACGATAAGGAGATCAGCCACTCGATACGTGTGTCATGGTGGCATCTTGTTTCAAATCTCTTATAATGGTATGCTGCTTAGGTGCATCGATCAGAAAGATGTAAACCTCGTGCTCAAATAAGTTAATGTCAGAGTCTGCATAATGCATCAATTTGGTCCTAAATTATATGATAGAATTGTCATGATATCTTATTACTAGCCTACCATGAATGATGTTTCTCCTATGTTTGCAAAGAGCTATTCAGTATGTCAGATCCATTCAAGCTTTATTCATCAAGCTCCCTAACCTCTTCAACCAACAGTAGCCTCATGGCCCTTTGCTCAGTAGGGTATAGACATTGTGGGACTTATTGAACCACCATCCTCCTAGGGGCATGTCTTTATACTTGTTATTGCATACTACTTCTCTAAATGGGATGAGGTTGTGTCACTACCCCACTCCCTGACCCCTGCTGGAGGGCGACAGAGTGCGGGATCGCGACCAGAGGTCGCATACGTCACTCAGGTGGGAGTGGCATCAACACGTGTTACAAATGCGGAATCAAAGCAAACCACAAGAAATAAATAAAACTCTGCTAATGAAGTACAAAAGACTAAATAATTTAAAACCATTAAATCTTTCATTCAACTTCAAAGTCTTTACAATAAAGTTCAAGGCTTATAAGCCTGACATTCATCTCATTACATCAAACCATCATGGCTTAGCCACAAAATACCTATTTTGGAGGAAGGAAAACTCGGACAGATCTGAACTCCAAACGCCTGCTTTGACTGATCTGCTGCTCACAGCTATGCACTATCACTCTTCATAGAAGAAAAAAAATAGATGGAATGAGCTATAAGCCCAGTAAGTAAATCACTACTCTTGCATTCCCGCCTATATGTATGTGCATAATAACATGCCCTATGGTTCATCACAAATCACACTGGTCTTACAGAGTAAGGTTATCCATTAAAGTACATATAAATGTTGTATAGAGAGTGTGAGATTCAGTTAATAGTGCATTCCTTGTTCTCAAGATGGCATTTACATTTATGCATATCATAGATACAATCAGATGTTCATATATAATACTTAATTTAGACAGACAAAGCAAATTATTTACTCCTGAAGTAGAAGCCATATCGATCTGGCTAAGCCAATTCTGTAACTTGGGACTTCTACCCTCATTCAAAAGGGAGGATAATGACAAGTTGAGGTCCCACTTCGTAATATCCTCATTCATGCACACATCCCCAGCGCGCTTTGGGGTTTTCGATAGCCTGTGACCTTGCAAGACACTCTCCTTATGCCCTTAGGCAAGAGGGAGTTACACTACCATTGGGGGACCCAATGCGTAGTGCCCATGACTACTTAGAGGGGGGCGCGACCCTCCCTATTACTTATAATCACCTCTCGACTCCACTCGTATCATAAGAGTTGAGGTATAATGTACCCAACTACCAATGGAGGACCCATTGTGTGGTGGTCATATCACAGATACACGTGTTCATAAAACAGAATCCGAATACTCACTACTAACGGAGGACCAATTTGTGTAGCGTTCATTATACATATCACAGTATTCATAAAACGGAATTAGGCAGTACACTACCAATTGAGGACCCATTGCGCAGTGTTCATTGCACATATCACAGTATTCATATAACATAATAAGGCAGTACACTACCAATGGAGAACCCATTGTGTAGTGTTCATTCTACATATCACAGTATTTATTACTTAGATAACAAAATCCGAGCATCATATTCATAGGGGACAGTATCAGCATCACATGAGAACACTAGCAAGATCAT